TGGGTGACCGGAAGCCCTCAGAGCTTCTACGTCGGATGCGTTGTCTCCTTGGAGACATGCAAGTTGATGATAAATTTGTCAAGGAGATGTTCCTGGAGCGCCTGCCCACAGATGTTCAAACGATCCTGGCGTCCGGCTCTCAGGATCTCTCAGTGTCACAGTTGGCTGAGATGGCCGATCGAATGATAGAGGTGCAACGATTCCAGTCACCTTCCGTTGCCCAGATCTCATCCTCATCGTCAGTGAATGAGCATTTACTAAAACAGGTGTCGGCCATGGCAGATGAGATGGCCTCTCTTAAAATACAGCTCGCCCGCTTAACTTCCAGTCGCTCACGCAGTCGTCGTCGTTCTCGTTCGCGACCTCGGACTGCTGATACTTGCTGGTACCACACTAATTTCGGCGTAAAGGCCCGTCGCTGTTCCTCACCTTGCTCTTTTAAGCCAAAACAGGGAAACCAGTCAGCCAGAGAATAGATGCGACCGTTTTCTCTGGCTCCTCCGGCTCTGGTCGTACCTTCTATGTTTGCGACACTGCGACTCGCAGACGTTTTCTGGTGGACACTGGAGCTCAAATCAGTGTTGTTCCCCCAACTGCAGCTGATCGTTGTTTCCCTAGTCCTGGTCTTCATCTTCAAGCAGCTAACTGTTCCCCAATTCCCACTTTTGGCAGTCTGTCCCTCACCCTGAACATTGGCCTTCGTCGGTCATTTACTTGGATCTTTGTGATTGCTGATGTCCCTCATGCAATCCTCGGCTCGGACTTCCTTGCCGAGTTCGATCTCCTTGTTGACTGTCGACGTGCCCGTCTCCTCGACCGCACAACCGGTCTGTTCGTCCGTAGACTAACTCCATTTACTGCCCCCACCAACTTATCTGTCCTGGATACAGATATTGCTAGTCCTTTTCGGCAACTGCTGCTTAGTCACCCCAACATAATTAACGCCCAGTTTCGCAGTGGTGAAGTTCAACATGATGTTGTGCACCATATCCGCACCTCAGGTCCTCCCGTGTTTGCTCGACCGAGAGGACTAGCATCGGAGCGTTTTCAGGCCGCGAAGGCGGAGTTTGAACACATGCTGCAACTGGGAATAATTCGACCGTCCGAGAGCCCTTGGGCGTCCCCATTGCACATGGTGCCCAAGGCAACATCAGGCGACTGGCGGCCCTGTGGTGACTATCGCGCCCTCAACAATGTGACCATCCCGGATCGTTATCCCGTCCCTCATCTTCAAGATTTTGCTGGAGCTCTTTTCGGCAAATCGGTTTTCTCGAAGATTGACCTTGTTCGGGCCTTCCATCAGATTCCTGTCGCTCCTGAGGATGTTCCCAAAACTGCCGTCACCACACCATTCGGCCTGTTCGAATTTATTCGCATGCCATTTGGTCTTCGCAATGCTGCCCAAACATTTCAGAGGTTCATTGATCGAGTCCTACGTGGTCTCCCGTTTGTGTACGCCTAAATCGATGACCTCTTGGTGGCCAGTCGAAATGCCGAGGAACACAAAGAGCATCTTGCCTTAGTGTTTGACCGCCTCGATCAGTTTGGCGTGGTCATTAACCCTTCCAAGTGTGTTCTGGGTGTGCCGTCCCTTGATTTTCTTGGTCACCATATCGATGCACAAGGTTTGCGTCCCCTCTCTTCCAAGGTTGAGGCCATTCGTGACTTTCCTCCACCAACCTCCAAGCGTCAGCTGCAACGTTTCCTTGGCATGGTAAACTTTTATCGCCGGTTCCTACCGAACTGTGCCGACCTTATGCTGCCACTCACCAACTTACTCTCTGGTCCCAAGGGTCCCCTTAAGTTACGTGGCCACGCGCTGACTGCATTTAAGAGAATAAAGACCTCCCTTGCTGATGCTACCTAGCTCAATCATCCTGCTCCAGAAGCCCCATTGTCCCTGATGGTTGATGCTTCGACCGTTGCCGTAGGAGCAGTCCTCCAACAGCATATCAACAACTCGACACGACCGTTGGCATTCTTCTCCAAGAAGCTTTCACCTGCCGAGACGAGATATAGCACGTTTGGACGTGAACTTCTTGCCATTTACCTAGCCGTAAAACATGTCCGACTCTTCCTTGAGGGTCGTGACTTCACCATTTTCACAGACCACAAACCACTTACATTTGCCATCCGATCCCATTCTGACAAATATAGCCCGAGAGAGATTTCTCATTTGGATTACATCTCGCAATTCACCACCGACATCCGCCACATTGATGGCCCGAAGAATGAGGTGGCTGATATGCTGTCCAGACCCTCACTGTCTTCCCTCCAACTCTCACACGGGATCGATCTTTGTGCCATGGCGGCTGAGCAGCAGCGAGTCGGTTGTCCTGTCGACGAGTCTGTTAGTGGTCTCCAACTCAAAGACGTTCCTCTGACCACCGGCTCTGGTACCATACTTTTGTGACGTCTCAACTCCCTTTCATCGCCCTTTGGTGCCCGCCTCGATGCGTCGAGCTGTATTTCAAACTCTGCATGGACTCTCCCACCCTGGGATCCGAGCCTCTCAAAAGCTCCTCGCGGAAAGGTTTGTCTGGCCTGGTATGAACAAGGACGTCAAAGCTTGGGCCCGGTCGTGTCTGAGCTGCCAGCGCAACAAGGTGCAGCGTCACAACAAGTCCCCACCAGGCACTTTCCCCAGTCCCGACGCACGGTTCAGCCATGTGCACCTGGATGTCGTAGGCCCCTTGCCTCCATCCAAGGGTTTCACCTACCTCCTTACCTGTGTCGATCGATATACTCGCTGGGCTGAAGCTATTCCTTTGCCGAATGTTCAGGCTGAAACCATCGTGAAGGCCTTCGTCAGTCGTTGGGTCGCCATGTTCGGTGCCCCATCCACGGTTACGACTGATCGTGGTGCCCAGTTTGAGTCGGCACTCTTCCAAACGCTACTCAATTTCCTTGGCTGCACACGCATTCGGACGACAGCCTACCACCCCGCTGCCAACGGTATGGTGGAACGTTTCCATCGCCAGCTAAAGACCGCCCTCCGTGCCGTAGAAGACCCAGGAAACTGGTCGGACAACCTTCCTCTTGCACTCCTCGGCATCCGCGCAGCTCTGAAGTCGGATCTGGGCTGTAGCGCAGCTGAATTGGTTTTCGGCACTACCCTCCGCCTGCCAGGCGAGATGATCAACCCAACCTCTCGTGGAGCCGACGAGACTCCTGACAATCTTGTGCACCGTTTGCGGCAATTTATGCGCTCGCTTTCCCCGGTTCCACCTCGAGCTCCAATGACTGAGTCTTATGTCGAAAAAGACTTGGACAAATGTACTCATGTGTTCGTCCGGTGTGACCGTGTGCGCCAGCTGCTGGAATCACCATATAAAGGACCGTTCCGCGTGCTCGCGCGCAACACCAAGACCTTCCGGATTCTTCGCAGTGACAAGGAGGACGTGGTCAGTGTCGATCGGGTCAAGGCTGCTGTTGCGGAGGAGCCGCCGGACCTATCACAAGGACAAACATGTGCTGACCAGCTAACCCCTGTTCCTCCATCTTCCCTATCCCCTACCCGTTCGCCCTGCCCACTGCCTTGCCCTTCCCCTCCCTTGCCCTCTACCCCTCCGTCCCGCATACTTCCTCTCCCTACATGTCAACAGCATCCAACTGCAACACCATCGTCCACCACAGCACGCAGTCAACCCTCCTCGACTGTACCTCCTGCATACATAACTCGCAGTGGCCGTCACGTTCATTTTCCCGATCGTTTAGTTACCCATTTTTTCTAGACTTGTGCATATCCTCCGGCGCCGTATCCCGTCGCCCTCCGGTCTAGAAGGGGGGTACTGCGGTGAGGTACCTGACTAATTTACCTTTGACAATTTAGTCCCATTTCCTTTGACCGCATTGCTTGTTTGAATGTGACGAGAAACGACACACCTGTACAACCCGCCTTGCTAGCGTGCTCTGCTGTGGTAATTTGTTGTCAGTTTTTCTTAACGTTCAAAAATCTCTATATTATTCACTGCTCCGATTTACTTGCTGCATTTAAGGCTAGGGGCTCGTGAGATATAACTCGTTAGTTCGTGAGAACATAACGATTTACGACTAGGACGCTTGCCACCACACCCTGAATTTTGGTGGTTGTTGTGTTGTGCAAATCCCATTACGTCTGCCAGAATCCGATATGGCTCCCACCTTGGTCCAGCGCATCTACTCGTGCCCGTGTTGTGGGGGCACAAACACACATACGATAGTTCGACCGTCGACGCCGGCGCAGCATTAACTTCTTCTTTTTCATTTGTATTTTCAATTCACATAAAGTCTTTTAAAAGTTTTGAGCCACCGGTTTATGCTGGTTTTTGTGAGCAGGAGTCTTGGTTAAATTTCGACATCTTCCGTGAAATAAGTCATATACTGTAATTTGAATGCCCGCTCGCAGTGGGGACAGATCGGAGAAATGAAGGTCCGACTCATGTCGCCAGTCTGCATTTTCCTTGATGTCCGAATATTACTTGAATATAATTGCAGACTCGCCTACAAGAGCACAAATCAGCTACTCGGAGGTTAGACCCAAATTCTCAATTGGCAGCACACGTTGGAGAAACTGGGCATACTTTTGACCTCCAGCGAGCTACCATCTTAGGCCGGGGCAACACAAAAGCAGAACGGCTAACTCTTGAGGCGTGTTTCTCCGATGCCCACTCCATAAACAGGCATCTGGACCTTCCTGCAGCCTACAAAGTCCTACGTCATCACAATCGTAGAGCTCAGGACCAAACAACCACACCGGGCTTAAGGAGGCCATACGGAGACAGCCCGACGGCGAGTTTACTCGGTGAAGAAGAAGAAGAACCGCCAGACCGCCCACCCGACACTGGTTCAGTCACCTCCCCCCGGCGGAATGGTGACTCACAACGCACGCAGACAAAACACCAGTCAGCCATCCCCTGATAGGCCGCGGCAGCGAGAGGAGAGAGAGAGAGAAAAAAATCGACTTGCAGGAGGCCGTACAACGTGACACGCCACTTGGGATCTCTGGTGGATTGAGTGCACTTTACGCTTTGACAATGGAGAGCCGACCAAGCTCTTCGAAAGGTCTAATTAACCTGTTCCGGTGAGCCCACCTTCTTCTTCTTCTTCTTCTTCAAATATAACTTACTGTATGCATGTATGTCGACACCGTTTACTTGACGAGCATTGGTTTTGGCATGTGCCGTTGTGTCCGCTATGTCGGCAACTGTAAAGCCTATCACAGGCTTGCTGCTAGAATGATGTATGAGCGGTTGGCGAGTGATGTTGAGCGGGATCGTATGTTCAAAAGGGTAAATGGGCCCGTAGGGGTGAGGAATGGTGAGGGGGTGAAACAATTGTGATTGTTGTTTGTTGGAATTTGAGGCATTAATTTTTCGGTCTCAGTGCTATGGATACGCAAGTGACCAACCAGACCAATGTGTGATTAAAGTGCCCTGTTCTAGTAAATGCAGAATGTGACTGTGACTATTGAGCTAAACGCGGTCGTAAGGCTATTACTAGCATATTTACCTCTAATGATTAGGAAAATTTAGGACGTACGATGTGGGTCTGTTGATTTAACATTGTGGTGGATGCTGCTGTCGTAGATGCACGTGTGTCCGATAAGGCTCATGAAGTGTCCGGATATTTTGAGGCATTGTGGGCAGGAATGACAGATGTGATTGGTGTTTGTTGGGACTTCAGGTACTGGTTAACCCGTCTCATTACGATGAATTCGTAGTTCAACGTTGGTGCATGACCGCTGTTTTGTCCGTTTTGAGAGTTAGGTCGAAGTTGGCGCACCCGGCGGCCAGGAGGTCCATGCACCATTGCGTATTCGCTTCGACCGTGATATTGAGCGCGCAGTCGTGGCCGAAGAGCAGGCACAGTGATTGACCGATCTCATGAAATGTTGGCTGAAATTCTGAAATGCGTTTTCGATTGGGAAGGATTACGTAGGCGCGGTTGTAATACTAATTAGCCTGCAACATAAGCTTATAACATTTCGGACACGGCAGGATGTCAGCTTTTGATACCACTGCTTTTCAATCTCCTGTAGAAACCGTACTCGGTAAAATATGATTACTTAAGACGCATGCATTTTCCCATAGACTTTCGATGGCCTCGCAAATTCAAATATATCCTATAGAAACCTTAAACAAATATATGCTTTCTTTCAGTTAATTAATAGAAAATCACGTCTTCTTTTTATTTTATACTCAACGAAGCAGTATAATTAGGTTTTAAAAAGTTTCTCATTATGGGTTTTTTAAGACTGCACATTGTCCATTCACAGAGCAAGTTCAAATTTATCTTATAGAAACCATAAGCAAATATATGCTTTCTTTCAGTAAATCGATAGAGAATCACGTCTTCTTTATATTTTATACTTAAGAAAGAAGTTTAATTCGTGTTTAAAAGTTTTCTAATTGCCCAATAATTTGGAGTATGATCAGTCGTTGCAGTAGTGCTTAGTGATTTCAGTCTACAAGGGGCATGCGTTCAGCGCAAAAAATCACATATTTTTCCATGCCATTAAAAATATATCATATAGAGTCCAAGAAATTTTGCAAAGGATGCAAATTATGTTGTATGTTTCATGAGGAGCAGTGTTAAACGGACAGGTACGATGCTATTTGAATGGACATTGCACGGTCTTAAAAAATGTCATAATATTAAACTTTTTAAAACCTAATTCTACTCCTTCCTTGCGCATAAAATATAAAGAAGACGTGATTCTCTATTGATTGACTAAAAGAAAGTATATTTTTGCTTACGGTTTCTATAAGATATATTTGAATTTGCAAGACCATCGAAAATCGATGGGAAAAATTCATGCTAATTACGTAGTCATATTTTAACGAGAACGCTTTCTACAGGAGTTTAAAAATCAGTGTATTCCAAAGCTGACATCCTGCCGAGTCCGAAATGTTATAAGATTATGCTGCAGGATAATTAGTATTACAACCACACCTAAGTAATCCTTCCTAATCGAAAACACATTTCAGAATTTCAGCCAACATTTCATGAGATCGATCACTCACTGTGGTAGACGGTGGTCAAAGATATTCGCGTGGCGGGAGGGGGGTCCACATGCGCTTGCTGTTGAGGAGATACCGCCACTTATGTGGGCGATACGTATCCGGGGGGAGCTCATCACGATAGGCGTCCATCAGAACGGCAGAAAACACGTGACCAATGAGGGCAGGCGTGAAGACGCAGGTCTGCATCACTCTAGTGGTCACTTTGACTGTCCTTGACACGCGCCAACCTCCCATCATGGAGCACTGTATGCGTGAACATTTCAGGACAGCCGAATTTCGAGTTCACTGTATCTAAGGCTTCCATCAAGTCCACGACGATAATGTAGAAGTGGGTTCGCATCACCTGACACTTCTCCTGTAGCTAGCTAGCGACGAAAAGCATATCAATGGTGCCCCGGTATCGTTGGAGGCTACATTGGCTTTCCTGCAGGAATCCATGATCGAGGTGTCCGTTGGGGCAATTAAGGAGGATGGGGGCGAAGATCTTCTCCGGGGTGTTGAGCAGAGAGATGCCTCTTGATTGTCCCAGATTTTCCGGTTCCCTTTTTTCTTGTAGGGGTGAACGATGGTTGAGTCCTTGAAGTCCCGGGGAACTTGTCCCCAGCGCCACATCTCCTGAAATAGCCTCATGATTTGGTCTCCCAGTCGGTGACCGTCATGTTCATAAATCTCAACTGAGATCGCATCTGAGCCCGATGCTTTCTCGCTGGTGATTTGTTGCACAGCACGGGTGGTTTCTGGGAGGAAGGACAGAAGATCCAGGTCTGCGTTCTCTTCCACTTGGGGGAGCCGGTCGATGGCAGCGTCAAAGATTGTGGGGGGGGCCTTTGAGAACGTTTCTGAGGTGCCCTACCCAGCGCTTCAGAATCTGCGACCTGTCTGCCAAAAGCTTTGAGCTATCAAAGCTGAGAAACGACACAGTCCCCTTGTTAGGGGGAGTCGCAGGTCACCTTAATCGCAGCGAATGAGTTCGTTGATTCTCCGCAACTGACATATCCCCGGACCTACTCTGGCATGCAAGCCGTCCGGGAGTCCTGGATCTCTCGCAACCGTTGCTACGCAGGACAGCGACATTGGTAGATGGTCGCTTTGTTCGCATCGGTTAGACGGTCAAGGTAGGCTTTGTTCAGTCAGTTCTTCTCGGTCAGCAGGTTGTTGACGACTGCGCCTCCGTCACACCAGACCTGATGCTGGCGACGTGTGCGACCGAGGACGCTTAGGGCGGTGGAATGAATAGCGTTTTGCAGTTGGGACCATTGAGTCCCCACGGAGGCGTTGTCATCTGGAGCTGGTAGGCCTTCTAACAGCCGCCTTCCAGCTGGAACTACACACGTTGATGGGGCACAGACAACAAAGGAGTATTCGACTTACCTCGCGGTTTCCTCTACTGGTTCAGAGGACGCCTTATCTTGAAGATGACGAAGCGGTGATCCGTCCAGCTATTGGCGTCGCAAATCGCATTTGACGCCAGCACGTCGCGTCGATGGCGCCGTCGGACGAGAATGTATTTCAGTAGCTGCCAGCGTCCTGCTCAGGAGTCCATCCCAGTTGGCCTTCTTTCGCATCGGCAGACGGAAGAGAGTGTTGATAGACTTAAGGCGGTGTTCAGCGCAGGTTCACAGAAGAAGGCCATTGTCTTTGCAGTCGCTGATCCCCTCCAGGTAGTGCAGTCATTCATCAGAAGATAAATAAGAAGAAGAAGAAGAAGAAGAAGAAGAAGAAGAAGCGAT